CACTTCACAGGCACAGCTGTAAAAGCAATTCTAAAAGAGGTCAGAACAATGGGGGAGTAGGGAACAAGTCCAGGTGTACACTCTCTGACGACCTGCAGAGGGCTGGGTGATGTTAGCCAAGGTGTCCGCCAAGGCCACAGGCTGCAGAGGAAACAGTCCTGTCCATGGCCCTGCTGAAGAGGCAACCTTGGGCAGCAATTAAGAAGGTGAATCACCAGAAACTATGAGGAAGAGGAAAAGACAACGATGGAGGGAAAGAACCACTCTGTGGGTGGTGTGAGGAGGGGACAGCAGGTATGTAGACGTACTGGCACATATAGGCAGAGTACATAGGTTAGAGCCCCACCTCCCTCCCAGACCAAGGCCCCAGAGCTGCTACAGATCCTGGAATTTTCCAGTTCCCACCTCTGTGAGCACAGCTCTGTCACTGTCCTACTTTCCCAAGGCTCTCTGGTCAGCTTTTCCAGTAAGCCTGTCATCACTGGAGGTCACTGGAGGCAACTGCTGAGTCTTCTGAATCCAGATGAAACAGATGAGCTGCATATCCTCCAGGTCATCTTGCATGATCTTTCTCAAGACCACACTCGCAATGGGATTCAACATCTCCATGCTCAAAGCCAATCCTCTAGTGGCACATGCCCTGTACAGTGCTAATGAAGGGCAGGAGCATGTACGTTACCATCAGCCAGGACACGTGCCTGTGTGGATGCTACTCCACCTCCCAGTGCAAGCAGGCAGGGGAATTCTTCAGAGTAGGACCCGGGATGACCTGTGGCCGTCTTTTCAACCATAAGTATCCTTTCTTTCCAATTAGACTCTAGTTGGTCTCAAGGCCAGAGACCACATACACAACCTCTTGCAGATACTTGTCCCCTAGAAAGTATTTATTGGCATTTAGTGAGTGCTGGGAGCGGGGGGACGTGAAGCTAAATGCTCAGCACTGTGAGGGAGCTAATGCAGTGATGCCCCTGTACTGGGTTGAATAGCATCTCCCCAAATACTCATGTCCACCTGGAACCTCAGAATGTGACCTTATTTGGAAATAGGGTCTTTGCAGATGTAATTCATTAAAATGAGGTTACACTGGATTAGAGTGGGCCCTAATCCAATGACTGGTGTCCTTATAAGAAGAGAAAACAGAGCCACACACATAGAGAAGACAGTTATGTGAAGATAAAGGCAGAAATTGGAGAGATGCAGCTGTAAGCTAAGCATTGCCAGCAACTACTGGAAGCCAGGAGAGAGGTAGGGAAGAATTCTTTCCTAGAACCTTCAGAGGGAGCATGGGCCTGCTCAAGCTCTGAAAACAGCTTGATTTTGAACTTCTAGCCTCCAGAACTGCGAAAGAATAAATTTCTGTGGTTTTAAGCCATCCAGTCTGTGGTACTTTGCTATGGTAGCTCCAGGAAATGAATAAACCCCCAACCAGTTTTTCCACCAGTGACATTAATAGTGTGGCCCTCACTCTGGTGTGTTGAAAAATCTGACGGATGTGAGCTCAGAGACAGAACAGGGGCTACCCAAACAAATAAGCAAGTGGAAAGTCAGATGGCCTCCTCCATACGGGAAATGACGGCACAAATAAACCAGTAAATGCTACCAGTTTCATGTGTGGACATTTTGTAGGTAAGAGGTCTGATACGAGAATTTCAAATGTGACCACATCGGCCAAATGAAGAATCTGGCTGAGAGAGAATCTAGTGGAGCCAGCCTCCAGAAAGAGACCCCTTTTTGGTGCTCAGGTTTTCTTTCCTGACAGGGACAGCGAACGTGACAGAGCTGTATACTTCTTGCACAAAGAAGCAGGAAACATTTGGATAAAGGAATTAGCGCAAAACCTTGTCCAGAAATGAAAAGCAGAAGCTGTGGGACAGAGGAGCCCATGACTACAGTCGCCAGAAGCAAAGGGGTTCCTTCCTTTCCAGCCTGATCAAGAACCCAAATAAGTCACTCCTCAGGCCCTTTATTCAGCATCTACCAGGTGCCAGGCACTGTGCAAGGTGCCTTAATTATGATTTAATCCTCGTTTATTCCTCACAACCACCCTTTGACATAGGTGTTGTGAGCGTGGGGAGATGTACAAGGCAATTCCATTGAGTCATTAAGATTATTTACTCAGCCTTACCTCTGCAGCCAACACTATGGTAAGGAAAGTGGGAGCTAAAGTAGAAATAAAACACCTGGCCCTAGCCCACAATAAAAATACCTCTTTTATTTAATTACGCAAATTTGTTCCAGGAAATATAAATGTTTCATTCAAACTTTACTATTCAACTTTGGAACTTGTTCCTAGCAAGTCAAGATTTAAAAGAACTCTAAATGCATCTCTATTTTATCTATCTTTATTTTAGAGGGGAAACCTTTCTTGTGTGTGTGCACATAGAGGGACGACAATTACATCTCAGTGTTCCACAAAACAAACTTTCTTTTAAAAATAATTTTTTAAGCTTCTGTGATGAAATTAAACCAAGAATTGAGTGTATGCAACAAGGAGAAAAATGTAAATATCAGAAGGGAATTTTTTCTAATTGTTTTAATTATGAATTCATCCACTCAAGTTCAATTTCTTTTCTTTACAAAACCAAGTTAATATTGGATGTCAAGTAGAGAAACTAAGAGGTTAAGTTCTGGATTCATCCATCCATCCAGCATATGATTGTAAACACCCTGTGATAAAGTTCTACAACAAAGCTGAGGCAAAGAATCTCAGAATCATTAGATCTGAGTTAGTAGTAGTGGAGTTGTTAGTAAACTCTAAAGAGAATCAGATGAAAAATGTGTTGAGAGGACGGCACTTGGATAGGGAGTTAGGAGATCAAGAAATAGTCAAGCTGACGTCCATGTGATCTTGGGCCAGTTAACTCTTCCTTCCATGGATTTGTTGCTGAATCAGAAAGTTGAAAATTCCAATGCCTGCTCCTTCATAAGTCAATAGGATTATACAAAGCTGTCAGGATAAATTAGCCAATGTACGAGATGTAAAGCAAGTTAAAATCTTAGCAAAAAAGAAACCATAAAGTGTATGTCAAAGTACAATTCTGAGAATGCAAGGGAAAAAAAAGTTTTTTGCATTTGGTGTAAAATCTCTAAAATTTTATAAACTGGTTCATCTATTTGCACATAAACTGGCTTGGAATGAAATTAGAGTGGATTGCTATTTACCCACGTTTTAATCATTCTTTTCTCATAACTTCCTCCTTCTATGTTACCTACACTCAGAATAATAGCTGGGAGGTTCCTGCCCTGAAACATTCATTCATTCAAGATGTTCATTTGATTCAGGGAAATGGATATCTAACAGTGGTAGCTGACATGGGGTCAAAGATACAAAGATGTCCCAAAATGATTAAACAAATTGTTCCCTTGACTTTCCTTAGCTGAAGAAGGAAAAAATTATTACTAAGAAAACGATCTCCTCTCACACACACCCTGTGCTTCATGAATATCTTCTTAAATCATGCATCAGTAGTAAGCAGAGAGCACCCGGGAGCCCCAGGGGATAGTAACAGCATCACTCACTGCCAGGATCACGGCAAACCCAGTAGGGCTGTTTCCAAGGTGCTGGCCAGAGAAATACCAGAAGGGAAGGACATAAAAGGATCACAGTTTTTTTGCCCCTAATTAATTTGTATGGTTTGATTTATGACAAGGAAAGAAAAGAATCGTCATTTCATCTGCTCAGACCTCAATAAACAGTTCTTAAAACCAGGTAAAAATGAGAAGGAAAAAAAGAGAAAGAAAGTATCTGTTTGAAGTGTAATTCTCAGAATGCTTGATCCCTGTGTGGTAGGCAGAATAATAGCCTCCCTAAGAGGTCCACATGCCATTCCCTGGAATCTGAGAATATGTCAGGTTACATGACAAATGGGAATTAAGGTTGCAGATGGAATTAACGTTGTTAATCAGCTGACTTTGAGATGAGATTATCATGGATTATCTAGGTGGGTCCACTGTAATCACAAGAGTCCTTACAAGTGGAAAAGAAGCAGAAAAGAAGGTCAGAGTGATCCGGTCAATGCGAGAAGAGCTCAACCCACTGTTGCTGGCTTAGAAGATGTAGGCAGAGGCTATGAGCTAAGGAATGTGGGTGGTCTTTTTAAGCTGGAAAAGGCAAGGAACAGATTCTCTCCTAGAGCCTCCAAAAACGAAGGCAGACACCATGATTTTAGCCAGGTGAGACTGTGTTGTACTTCTGCCCCATGGAACCATGAGATAATAAATTTGTGCTGTTCCAAGCCACCAAGCTTGTGGTAATTTGTTAATAAATTTGTTAATAAATTTATTAATAATTTGTTAATAACTAATTTTTTAATAACTAATTTGTTAATAAACTAATACACCTGAGTCAAAATCTAGAGTACTTCACAGTGAAAACCAGCTGAATATTAATTATGTCCCAGGCCCCAGGAGATCATACTGTTATAGAGGATGGTTGGCTTGGAATGGCTGGGACTAGCCTGCTCAGGATTAACCCCGACGCTAGAGGTGAGATGGCTCACTCCCCAGCACTACCTCTCTTGCTATTTTCCTTCAACCATTTGGAATAAGGGACGTACAACATATGCTTGTTGGGCCTTTTCTGGGATCTGTGATGTAAAATGGGGTTAGACTTTTACTTAGAACCCATTTTCAAAGTAATTTTCACAAAGAAAATCTGAGTCAAGATGGAAATTTTTTTAATATTTTAATACTGCCACAAGTCAGAAAATAAATTAGTCTTTCAGCACTTTCCCCTGCCCCTGAGTTCCTGGTTTTTCTAGAGTGTGGGTCAGTCTCAACATTTAGGACCCTGAGGAATACAACCCAAGATTCCTGAAAATGCTGAGGGGCTGCCTGGAATCTCATAGCATGGGTTTGCTGACTGATTCACACTACTTTCCCCCCGAGTCAAGTTCCTTTACCATAGATCATCTCTCTAACTTTGCCAAAGCATCTCCCACCTTTGTAATATTGCACCTGCGTTTTGTGTGAAATGTTCCAACACTTGCTATGGAACATACCGGACATCCAGTGACTGCTGCCAGGTCTACAGCCAACTCACAGGACTTGATCAAATCCTCCATCATGGCCAAAGCTTGTTGCAGTTCGGCTAAGAATGCTGAATCCTTGGTCTTCCTTGGCCCATTCTGTGGAAACCAAATGCCTTGTTGAAAATCAAAAGGTAAACCATCTACCAAGCGAAGAAGGAAAACAGCACAGAGATAAGGAGCCATGGATCCAGCCAGCACGAAGTGTTTGAGAAGGTGGGTACATTGATCTGTTTCCCTGCTCTCAGATAATGGTGGCTAAAGATATTTGCTGGTTTAAGGATATGATATGTACACAAACAAAATCACAGCCACACCTTCTGTATATTGTACTAATGAAGAATGAGGTTGATAAAATCATGGACATTATATTCCTGCTATATAAGAAACATATTGAACTTTTTATTAAAGCATAAAAAAAACCCAGCCCCTTTAAATAGGCTGCTCTCTCTTTCACATCCCTATCTCCTGGCAGATTGTATGGATTCTATGGAGAAGTACAATCTAAGTATCACATTCCTATATTTAATGTGAAAGTCTGATTCCTTTGGGTAAAATTATACTTAAAACCATCGCAGAGGAGGATATTTGTAAACTCCTATACAGGCAAAGAATGGGCTGCCATGTGGAGGTTTACTAATCATTTACGTGTAAACACCATAAGGCTTGCATTTGCCACAGTGAAGCTCCCCCAGCTCTGCCCTTCCTCCCTCCTCTCCTCCCTGGGCACTCCCCACATTCCATCACCACTACAGATGACAAAGAGCTAAGCCACCACGGTCTACATCTCCCAAACATAAAGACTCAGCATTGAGTGGAAAAGCAATAACTGCTCATTCAAGAAACCAATGTTCCAGTTGTTACCACTGTGATAGTTAGGACACGACAGGGGTGATTGTTTCAGCTTGAAAGCCTTTTGCTTAGGATTTTGGTATTTTATTCCCCTGCTACCTACATAGCATATTTATCTGTTATCTGGTAAATACAAACAAAAAGATTTTGGTTTCTTCCCTTTTTTTTAAAACACACACAACAAAGAACAGATTGCTCTTTGCTGCCTCCATACAGCCCCACCTCTCTTTGCCCTCTACTGCATGATGGAAGCAAAGGCTTGTGTATTTTCTTAATCTCGGCCAAAGCTCTGGGGATTAGCATCTTTGGATCAGAGACAGAGTGACAGGGCTGATGAATGGAGCAGAGGACGCTGCCTCCACTAAACAATGTGCCATGGATTCTTATCTTCTCACTCATAATAAATACGCTCTGGGTTCTTGTGAAAGACAACAGACTCTCACCTGAGTTTACTGTAACGTCATCAATAAAGGGTTAAAAATTTTTATACCAGACAGCTTCCTCTTTCCCAACACTTAAACTCAATTTCCTTTTAGAGACTCAACTGCTCCTCTTCTTCTCACTAACTCTCCTCCCAGAAACACAGCAGGCTGCTAGTTTTACCCTGTGTAATGTAGGGCTCAGAAAAATCCTTACAAACATTATTCGACCCCTGTAATTCAGGCTAGATCTTTGCTCCAGGCTATAAAATTATCACCTGTGCCTTGAGCTTCTAATTGCAAGGGGTCCCCACCACTCATTCCGAGCAGAGAGGGCATGCAAATGACTGTTCCTTGAGACACATGCCTTATGTTTTCTCTGTTAAAACCAGAATATTCCATAGGAAATTGAAAAGGTGCTAAACCACAAATTTCTTCCTAATCTGGTATAGGCACCATTTCCTCCAAGGGAACCTTGGCTGTCTCTCTTAGAATTCACACACACACACACACACACACACACACACACACACATCAAAGGAAACACGGCAATAATGTGTACAAATTAAACATACTAAGAAGTACGAAGAAGGAAATATAAATCATTCACAATCCTACCATGCAGGAAAAACCATAGTAGAGATTTTATCATATTTACCTCCAGTTTTTTATGTATCCATTTTACACATTCACTCAATTTTGTATTCCTGTTAAGACACTTTTATGAGGAAGGAAGAAAATATATTATCACTTACCCTGCTACAAATTCCCACTTTAAAAGTGCCGTCAATTTTTTGTTTTTTTTCCTGACTATGAATTATAGGATACATACAATTTTAGAAAATTTAAACAATAAAGATCATAAGGAAAAAAAAAATCGCCATAAATCCTCCCAGCCATAGACAAACACCATTAACAGTTAGTTATATAAAACAATATTTAACATCCAGTACCTTCGCTGAACCTCCTTCTAGGTCACCTGGGTGTATCTCCAAATCCTTAGGGGACTCAAAATCCAGCAGACCCTGCATTAACCCAAAAGCCTTATTGAAAATCACAAAGTAGAATGAGAAATAAAACTACTATACAAACAATCTCCAGCCAACACTAAACTATATGTAAATTTGTCTATTTGTCATGGGTAAGAGGGAAAGATTGAATGATATATTCAGCACAGAATTCTTTCCACAAACATAGAATCATATTGGACACATTATTTTGTAGCCTGCTTTCTCTCACTCAACAACATATCATGAACATCTATTTTCTCATGACATTGTATCTTTTTCAAACATGGCTTTTGATTGTAGAAGACTGTTGCATCCTATAGATTAATCATAATTGATTAATCTCCCCTATTGTTGAACATTTAGGTTCAACAATTTTTTGCTATAATCATCCTCCTCCTCCTCCTCATCATCTTTGTGCATTTCTCCTAAGGATAAATTCCTAGGAGTGGAATTGTCAGTGTTGAGAGTTTTGAAGCATATTTCCAAGTTCTTTAGAGAAGGACTGTGTTCCCGCCAGCCATTCCTTGTCTCAACAGCCCTTAGCCTACCTGGAGTATTACCACTTATCAAAAGGTTTTGCAAATTGAATCAACAGAGCGATCCTACCTCACTGTTGTTTTAATTTGAATTTCTCAGATAACTAGTGAGGTAGAACTTTCAAAAAAATGTTTTCTATTAGCATTTATTCTTTTATAAAATTCTTTATGTCCCTTGGTCATCTTTTTATTATTAATTTCTTTTTTTAAATTTCTGCTTTATTGAGGTATAAGTGACATATAAAATTGTAAGATATTTAAAGTGTACATGTAAAGTGCACATGAGTTGATGTACGTACGCCTTCTGAAAGGAGTCCCCCAATCTAGTTAATTAACAAATCCATCATCTCACATATTTATCTTTTTTGGTATGTGGGGGGGAACATTTAAGTTTTACTCTCTTAACAAACTTCAATTATACAATACAGTGTTACCAATTATAGTCACATGTTGTATATTAGATCCTCAGACTGTATTTATCTTACAGCTGAAAGTTTATACCCTTTTACCAACCTCTCCCTATTAATTCTTTTTTTTAATAGTAGCCTAATTTTTTTAAAAAAGAAAAGCGAACGTTGCTCCTGTGACATGAGTTGGATCACACAGGAAACCAGCATGACCACCTGTTCTAGAACATTCTTCCTGCAATAAGCAAAACTTACAGTAAACAAATAACACACCATTTTATAAACCATATCTTAATTAAACAAAATACATGCAAGAAAAATTGTCTACATTAAATTTGATAATTTCCATCCATCACTTACCCTGTTTAACAGAACTCATGAGCTCAATAAAAGTGAGTTCCTGTTGTCCCTAAATGCTACTATTTCTTATGTATGCTGATAAATAATATACTAATACTGTTTAATTAACTTGCCATGACTCATTAGACATTAATATACTCAAAAAACTCTGTCATGACAATTTTCATAACATCCCAGAAAAGATATTAAGCATTTTATAGATATCATCTTGTTTTTGTTTTTTATTATTAATTTCTATGAGCTCATTAAGAATGCTGACCATTTGTGACATATCTTGCTAATAAAATACTTTCCCAATTTTTCATGTGTCTGTTTCTAATGGTATAGTCTATCACTCTTTTCCCTTTCTTTTTTTTTGAGGAATATTGGCCCTGAGCTAACATCTGTTGCCAATCTTCCTCCTTTTTTTCCTTTTTTTCCTCCCCAAAGCCCCAGTAGATAGTTGTATATCCTTCTAGCTGCTCTATGTGGGATGCTGCCTCAGCATGGCTTGATGAGCAGTGCATAGGTCCGTGCCCAGGATCCAAACCGGCGAACCCTGGGCCGCCGAAACAGAGCGTGCGAACTTAACCGCTATGCCACCGGGCGGGCCCCTCCCTTTTTTTATACTTAGAAAAGCTTTCCCACACCAGGATCCCACGATCCTTTCTAAGCCATGAGGCAACCCGTCCAACATCCATGCTTTCTCAAAGACGCTGATGGTAGGCATTGCAGAAGGAGCTCCAATTCTCAAGGTGGAGAACACTACAAAGTTTGTCTTCTCTTCACAGGCGTGCCAATGGTTTGAACTTGTTTTTCTGGGCAGGCAGCAGGCTCAGCTATGGGAAAAACTGGTCTGCCTTGAGTAGTCTCCCACGGTTTCGCACCGACCCCAAGGAATATTTTATAGTGATTCTGTCTCTTGTTTCCTCAGTGAGATGAAGCTAACAAAATCTTCTAAGTATTTTTAAAATGTATTACCTCATTTAATGCTCCTAAAAAGCATACCAGGAAAGTATTATTACTACCTTCATTTTACAGGTGACAAACTTGAGGCAGAGAGAAGTTAAGTAACTTGCCTGGGTTCACGGCGTCTGGAAGCGTCAGAGCCCGGATCCACACTCAGGATGTCTACATCTCGAGTCTGAGTTTCTAATCACTACACCCTACAGCCCTCTGAGTATGGTACAGAACTCAGCTATTGTATCACCATCACTCATATGGGAAAACTCGAGCCCTTCAGTACGTGATGCACTCAGGCTGAGGTTGTGAAGACCCCGCTTAGGTCCTGCTCCCCGCTCACGGGGCCCAGTGGTAGGACTTCATGACAGGAAAGATGGGGCAGTCAGAGGAATATGAGGCCCTAAGTGAACACTGTATCCAAATATGCTCACAGATGCCACTCATGGAGGGAAGCCGTGGGTCATCATCCTCATTCCCACACTGGTGTGACGTCTCCATGTATAAAACAACGGCTACATGTCACAGGAAGCTTCCTGGAGGTCAGCACTGAGCGAACTCTCTGTGCATTACTCACGTGCTCCTACAGCAATCCCATGGACGAGGTTCAATTATCCTCATTTTACATATGAGAAAACCAAGGCCTAAGAGGCCCAATAATCCCACAACTGGTAGCAGCAGACCCAGTCCAGCCGAGGCTGGGACTGCTGAGGCAAAGCTCAAAGGGGTAACTTTTTCTGAGGGCAGAATGTTGGGCAATGAGCTTAACCTCCCCGAGCCTCAGTTTCCTCACACTCCAGAGCCTTCCTGGCACATCTGATTGTGGGGATTAAATAAGAAATACATGTGGGAAGGTACCTAGGAAACAGCAGGGGCTCTTTATTTATTAAGAAAGAGTAGCCACTGGGCAAGAGCTACTCATAAAGGTTAATTCAAAACACGACTTGGAGGAGTGGCCCAAACCTTCCCATCAGCTCACACGTGGGGAAGCAGCCTTGACAGAGCCTCCCGTCCTGTCTGGGGTGTCTGGGCTGCTCTCCTGCAGGTGTGCTGGTGTCAGAGAGAGAAAGAACCCCCGGGGTTCAGCAGAGCAAAATTCATTCTGTTGTGCTGCTCTTGAAAAAGATCCTAAACCTAAGGGTGGAGGTGGATGTTGCAAAAGAAGAGAAGACTCCAGTTGTGCCTTCTCCCTTCCACTGTTTTAATGCCTGTAAAATAGTGACTTTGGGGAAAACCACACCTCTTTGCTGAAGCTCCTTGCCTCATCTGTAAAACGGAGCAGATGATATCTTACCTGTAGATATCTTAAATGAGAGCAGAGGCTCCGGCTGCCTCCCCACCCTCTCAGCTGCCAGCAGTGTGGCGGCATCCTCCTTTTCTCCCTTTGCTCCCAAGGACCTCTCCTCCCCTAAGCCAGGCTCCTTAGAGATTCATGCCTTGGGCTGCATGTTGGACTAGCCAGGCTCCTGGGTCCCTTTCAACTCTATGACTCTTTGGTCTTACTCCTCATTGAGGAGGGCTTCTTTAGACTTGGAGGACAGAAAAAGCCCGAAGGAGATACACATCTTCACCTTTGCAAGACGAAGTCACAACTCGACATGTCTAAGAAAGAGAGCACCATAGGGCAGGCATCTGGCTCCTCAACATAGGAGAGCACTGTCTCATTGACTTTACCTTCAACAGTGTCTGGTATTTTATAAGTCTCTGGCTTGGTCCTTTAAGATACTTGAAAAGAGGGAGATTGTGATCCAGTTGGCGCTGGCAGACCTTTAAAAGCCAAACAGAAACAACATATAGCACAACAAACAATGCACACAAAACAAAAGTGGCAGCATTTAAATACAAGAAATGAAATGGGCTCTTCGGGGACAAGAGGGGCAGCTGTGTTGACCAGTTTTGTAACGGTACTGAGTTGTTCAGTCCCTCAGCAATGGTGTGTGAAATGAGAGGAAGGGGAAAGGGGATGGTTTGGCTAGTATTTTTATAGGGAACCAGAGAAGCAGGACCATTTATTTATTTATTTTTTGTGAGGAAGATCGGCCCTGAGTTAACATCTGCCAATCCTCTTTTTTTTTGCCTGAGGAAGATTGGCCCTGGGCTAACATCCATGCCCACCTTCCTCCACTTTATATGGGACGCCGCCACAGCATGGCTTGACAAGCAGTACATCGGTGCGCGCCCGGGATCTGAACCGGCGAACCCTGGGCCGCCGCAGCGGAGCACGCACACTTAACCACTTGTGCCACTGGGCCGGCCCCGGACCATTTATTTTTTTAGAAAGGAAGTCTGCTAGAGGACAGCGAGGCATTTCAACTCCTTCTGAAAAGGAGGCAACCTGTCTTCGAGTACGGGGTGGGTGGGGTCTATTCAGGTCATTTGGAATCTGAAGGGTACATGATAGCTTATTGATATCATTCCAGGGAGCCCTAAAGTGTGCCCTTTTTGAGTTAATTCCATTTTTTTTCCTTGCTGGGAAAGATTCGCCCTGAGCTAACATCTGTTGCCAATCTTCCTCTCTCTCTTTTTTTCCCTCCTCTCCAAAGCCCCAGTACATAGTTGTATATTCTAGTTGTGGGTCCTTCTAGTTCTTCTATGTGAACCACCACCACAGCATGGCTACTGACAGACAAGTGGTGTGATTCTGCGCCTGGGAACCAAACCTTGGCTGCCAAAGTGGAGCGTGCCCAACTTTAACCACTAGGCCATCAGGGCTGGCTCAGAGTTAATTCCATTTTTAAAATCCATTCTAGAAAAGGACTCTGGTTTTCTCATGAGGCTACAGATGCTCCTCACAGGCCAATCCCAAAGAGACCCAGGGCAGCATTGAAACTTCCAATGTGTAATTTCAAAATAGGAGAGACTTTTTTTTTTTTTGGTGAGGAAGATTAGCCCTGAGCTAACATCTGTTGTCAATCGTCCTCTTTTTGCTGAGGAAGATTGGCCCTGGGCTAACATCCGTGCCCATCTTCCTCCACTTTATATGTGGGACGCCTGCCACAGCATGGCTTGATAAGCAGTGCATAGGTCTGCGCCTGGGATCCAAACCTGCGAACCCCGGGCCGCCAAAGCGGCAGCACGTGAACTTAACCACTGTGCCACTAGGCCGGCCCCAGGAGAGACTTTTAATAAACATAAATCCCAATGCCAAATTCCTCTGCCTTGTTCATACTTTTGATTTCTTTAAAAAGTTGATGCACATAAACATTGTCTAGGGAAAACAATCTGTGTTTCCTAAGACTCTGTAATCTCAACATTACCCCAAAGTAGGCGCAGTCTTGACATTCTTGCCAGATTGCCTTAGCTCGGGGCAGATTCTTATGATATTTGAAATATATTTGAAGATCTTCTTTCTGAGTGGGGAAAAAAATTAGAACAAATTAATCAGGTAGCATTTTTTCAGTACATGGATAGGATAATACAGTTTATTCATTCATTCAACAAGCCTGAGTATTTCCAATGTTTAAGGAACTGGGGATGCATGATAAATAACCTTATGTTGGGATGAGTGTGTGATGGGGAGGCAAACAGCATTATAAACAACTATAAGTACTAAACAGAGATATGAACAGAGTGCTTTAGGAGCAACTACAGGGCTCTGGGAAATAAATAAGTAAATTCATGAACAGGCATCGATTTTTATCTTTACTCTTCCTCTCTGCTCTTTATCCAGGACACCAACATCTCCCCAAAATAGTCCTGCAGTGAGTGACAGAACTGACAGAAAAAGTGCTGGTAGCCGATGGCCCCGCCCATCTCTCGCCCCACTCTCTCCTTATTGTGATCATCATTGGTGCCAATTCTACCAAAAAACCTAAGAAACAACCAAAAGATAGATGTACCTCAGAAGGAAAATGTGACAGTCTGGACAAAACAACACAGATCTAAGTCATTCGGGCAACCCCCAAAGCAGCAAGCTCTGCCTCAGACATCACCTTCAACCTGCAGCACAAGACTCCGAGACAGGAAAAGTGACGTGATATCTCAGAGCTGGAGATCAAGAGGGATTCCAGGTGCTGTGCGACCTGTATTCTCATTGTAGCGAAGGCCTTGAGTGGGGCACACATCTGCCAATATCTCAGGTAGAAAAGATACCTCTGGTCTAGGGGGTCAGCTTGCCAGCTTCATACGCCCCATCAGGAAAACCTGGTCCGTGGCAGCTGTGGTTGCCACAGAGCCCAAGCGGCTCTGGGGAAGAAGTTCATGTGGCTACTTCCTTGCAGATTTGTGTCCCTATCCTTCTACTCAGGCCAACTCTTGTTGTCCTTCATGTGGACATGGGTTATTTTTTCCCTCACAGCTTCAACTATGTCTATTCTACTTTTAAACCCACTGCTGTACTGATTGATTTCCATTTCTGCAGCTCTTCCCCTCTCCTGATGGATGGTAAGGGGTCATTTCACTTCACTACAAAAACGACAGCAACTCTGTTCTTTGCTACTCTCTCCAGGAAAAACTATACACACACACACACACACACACATTTAGGGAGACGGCCCTTGAGAAATGTTGTTCAGGTTAGTTAAGGAACTAGAATAACAACTCAGAGCCTAACAAAAATACATTCATTATTCATTCACTCAAGAACTATTTATTGAGTACCTCTGAGGTGCCAAGCACTGTGCTAAGTGTGTTTGTTAAACTCAGTGGCTCCCATGGCATAGTAGCCTCGATATGGGGAACATTCCTGCCAGACTGAAGGCCACGCTTATAAAATACTACAAGTTGATTAAGGCATCTCACTCACATTTGGTCCGTCAGAGCACAAAGACATTGGCCTTTAGCTCCGAAAAGAATTTAAGGTTTCTGCAACACTCACCACCAGAAGATTCTCGGAAGCTGGAGGAGACTTTGGAGATCTAGCCTCCCACCCAGTAAAACATCCTCAGTAGTTAGCCACCTTTCCCCAAACTCTCCCAGTAACAGAGAGGGACCTGGTTCTCTTGGTGGATGCTGAGCTGAAACGTGCATCCTGAAAACTTCACCCCTTGGTCCTGTGTCTGCTCTTCGAGGCCTTTATAGGCCTTCTAGTACCAAAACACAACATATGAAAGCATATGAAAATGCCTGATTCCCCTTACCTCCTTATAGAGTAAATCAGGAGGCTAAAAAAATTTCTACCAAAAACTCATATTCACACAGGGAAACATGATTGCTTATGGATTAAGACTATGGGCTCTGGTGGTGGATGGTCCAGCTTCAGTTCTTGGCTTTGTCAATTACAAACTAAACAGCCTGAGTCAGTTACTTAACCTGCCTATACTTCAGTTTTCTCATCTGTTAAGTGGGCTCACAACAGCAGTCAACTCCTATGGTTGTTTTGGGATTAAACAAGATGATGTAGAGAAACCTCTCAACACATGCCTGATACACGCAGAGTACCTAACAAACAGTAGCTATTGTCAGAGCACTTTTTACTTTGTAGAACCTTTCTGCATGCATTACTTTATTTGATTTCCACAATAATTTTATATATTGATATTATCAAGTGTGTTGTATGGAGAAGGAAAGTGAGACTCCAGGGGTTTAAGTGACTTACTCGAGATCACGCAGATAGCAAGTGGCTTGACTCTAAGCTCCATTTCCTGAGTCCATCCCAGGGCTCTTTCCATCATACCGCGTGAGATCTCAGAGCAAATGGAACTCAAAGTAAACTACTGACAAATATTATTCTACATAGAGCTCAGTCTCTGGGGCAGAATCTTCCTGGACACTACAGGCTATCGAGTCTGATTAAAACACTTGGCCAGAGCAATATTTCAAAATTCATTTCTATGATTAGTAGAACTCTGTAAATGTTATTGAGAAAAGGTAAAAACTGCTATAGTAAATAAAGGGTGATGGGCCCACTTTATTAGCTAACAAATACAAGCTTTTGCACAGCAGCGGCCAATTCCCTCAAGGAATCTTCAAGATTAGGTAATTGTATTTTTTAATTATTCCGTTTGTCCCAGAGTAATAACTTTGTTCTTGATAAGAATTTATTACCTGTATTTTGTCTCCAACGTCATAAATCCTATAGGATTATATGCAGAGTATGTGGTCTGGATTAATGATTTCTAAAGTTTTCCCAACGTAGAGGACTATAAAAAGCTTTGTAAAACCTTAGAAGAGGAATTCTTTCTAAGAAAAGACGTTTAGTCAGCAATTCCCTGACCATTTTCTCATACTTGGACAATTTTTATTTGATAATATCCATTTTTTCCCACAGGAATTTGGTCCTTTGCTCATTGAACAATTTAAATAAGTCTCTGCAGTAATGACAGAAGCAATTAGAAAATATTTCTACACTCTGAAACTAGATTTCACACAGTGGTTTGATGAGAGTAAAACTGCAAAAGAGTATAAAATACTAATAATGCTATAAAAGTAATTCAAAAGGAAATTAATCAGATTGAATACAAAATACATTTTAGTGCATCTTGATTCAGGCACTGGATGAAAAACCTATGATGAGGCTGTGGTGGAAGGGCCATACAGGGCCATGGAAGCAGCCTTCTTTTTTTTTTTTTTTTTTTGGTGAGGCAGATTGGCGGTGAGCTAACATCTGTTGCCAACCTTCCTCTTTTTGCTTGAGGAAGATTGGCCCTGAGCTAACATCCATGCCAATCTTTCCCCTATTTTGTATGTGGGTGGCCTCGACAGCACAGCTTAATGAATGGTGTAGATCCGCGCCCGGGATCTGAACCGGAGAACCCGGGCCGCTGAAGTGGAGTGTGCTGAACTTAACCATTACACCACCGGGTCGGCCCAGAAGTGGCCTTCTAAGCCTGTCAAGAGTTCTGAGGGTGGAAGGCTCTGTTTCTCCATTATGTCAAATACCTTGAAACCTGGGGATTTCTGTTCACCTGCTTTTAGTTTATCACAAGTACTGCTCTTAGACTTATCAGCTATAATTTAGGTTGTTTAAAAATTTTTAAGTGTTTAATCTGTTGTCTCAGGCTCACAAAAAAGAAAAACAAGGAAAAGAATGAATAGGACTAGTTGGAAGAGAGAGAAGAAAGGGGAGAGATTTAGAAAGTAGAGGGCAGCAGGATCATCTGCATATCCTCCTACAGGGAAGAACGCACTTGCTGGGGAATGGTGTCAGGTAAAACACTTCTCTGTGCCAGATCCCAGAGAGCACCAGTGGCCCAAACAGCCTATTTATTGCCCAAAGCAGGGGTGGAGAACCAGCGAGAAGGAAGAGGTCTGCGTGGTGGGAAGGGGAAGTAGTCAGAGGTATGGTGGTGTAGGACAGGAAATTCAGAAACTTGGTGCTAAACATGAGAGGCTGTAGATTTAAGATTTTCTAACCATCCTCTGTGCTGTAAAAAATAAAATGGAAGAAAATACATTTTCTGATATTTTTAGTTTAACCTCAGTACTTCTCCTCTTGAGAGTGTTAATACAACTTGAGTGAAGAATTTAAGCTTGCTGTGTGATTCTTGTCCTGACACAGTTAGCTTAGCCATTCAGAGGAGGATCATTTGCTTCTGGGGGCCTGGGGAGCCAGTCTTCCCATTTCACTGGGCTTTGCAGGAAGCCAGGCTTGTAAGTTGCTCCCACCTATCAGTGTGAGCTCAGTCAAACTGGACTCATCTCACCCTGGATGAAATACCGCAAAGGACTCCTGCTTTGCATTCAAAAGGCAGATATAAGTTTTCAGACCATTGGTGTTTCCATTGCCCTTGCCACTTACACAGAAAATTAAGGGCTGACTTTAATCACATGATTATTTTGAGTTATTGGGAGCACAGACTTACTCTCTTGAGAAAGCAACGTGCCAGAAGTTCAGGGTTTTCAGTGCACTTTTCCAATTCTTTTAGAAAAGTCCTAGGGAAAGAAAAGTAAAATAATGCTTTGATTTTTACATGTATGGGGTTCAAAAGATTTTTTTATGTAAAATTACATAAAGTTTTAAGACGTGCCTAGAAAAATGCTGTTTTCCAGACTTTAACACCCTTGACTCTTCTTCAACACACTGATTTGGAAGAAGAAAAATGTATTCTGTGACATTACTAGGATTCCCCGAAACCACCCACAGCTCTTCTGATAATTCTACGAACTAACCACAGACAGAGTGGGTGCACTGATGCTCCCTGCTACATAATAATAATGTTAGTAAGAACTGCTGCTACTGTTGCTCCTGCTACAATGTCACTGAGAGCTTTCTAGAAGCCAGGCATAAACCAAGTGCTTCGCAAACAATATCTCATTTAATCCTCCACTAAACCTTGCAACATAGGGTTTCATAAATGTGAAACCTGAGGCTCAAAGAGGCTGAATAACTTCTCCAGGGAAAGGAGCAGAAATGGGATTTCCATTTAGGCTTTGTGTCTGACCAATGCACAAAAGATATGGTTAGGAAACCACTGCAGTTCAATTTGCCAAGCAGTTTTTCCCTTCCATCAGTTAGACGTGTGATCTTGGGGTCATATGGTGAGTAAAATGAGTCAACAAGCTGTGGTTTCCTTATCTGTAAAATGAAAGGGTTGGAAGATGATTTACAAAGTCCCTTCCTTCTCTAATTCTCCAAACTCAAAACCCAAGCAGCCCTGGACCAAGAGGACAACTTGTTTGACCAGTTAGCATTTTCTAACACGCTAGTTCCTAGCACCTCCCTATGATAATAAGTATGTGGAAGTGTATCTTGGTCATCTTTGTCTTCCCAATGTTGAAGACAATGCCTGGCACAGAACAGGTGCTCAATAAATGCTGATGCATGAATAGATAAATAAGCAAAGGAACACACAAATGAATACAACATTAATGCCCGATACCTAATGCACGCTCCACTAATGCCTTTTCCCTTCTTCCTCGGGGATCTTGCGGCACTTCTTCCCTCCTTCTCATCCCATTCCACCTCAACTCTATCCACTCACTCTGGACTACTTCTTCTTTTTTTTTTTTTTTGTGAGGAAGACCAGCGCTGAGCTAACATCTATTGCCAATCCTCCTCCTTTTTTTTCCCCCAAAGCCCCAGTAGAGAGTTGTATGTCATAGTTGCACATCCTTCCAGTTGCTGTATGTGGGATGTGGCCTCAGCATGGCCGGAGAAGCGGTGCGTCAGTGCGCGCCCGGGATCTGAACCCGGGCTGCCAGTAGCAGAGCACGCGCACTTAACCACTAAGCCAAGGAGCTGGCCCTGGACCACTTCTTAAGCCTGAAAACGTCTAAGCACTTAATCCCCAAATTCCATCAATCTGATTTCCATCCTTCTCTCTTACTTTCCATTTTTCCTGATAATTTGAATTATTATATACCTGTTGTGAAATTCATAAAGTTCTCTAATATTCCCAAAAAGAAAGTCCTTGTTATTCTGAAGAATATCTGGAATCAGATGCTTCAACCAAATAAAATCCATTGGAATGATATATCCCTGCAGAGATGGAAACAAGGTAGGTTTTACAAATAGGAAACACATAAGAGATGCTCTGAATTAGCTACTCCAGGGACCAAAACTTGAATAAAATAACTGGGGAATATGGCACCCATGTTTCCAGAAAGCCATTCCATCAAACACTTTCTTTTGATATTATTTTCCTCATGTGTCCATCTTCAGAAGAAGATGGTTTAATGGCAATGAAAATAGAATGGGATTTTTATAGGAAGAACAAATATAATTTAAAATGTTTATGTTATACAAGTCAAGTCTGAAAGGAAAAAACTTACTCATCATTTTATGACCTGATGCAATTACTATTGTTTTATTATATTTCCTTTATGACTTTTTAAAAGCTTATTTTATATGGTTATAATCACAGTACATATATAATTTGTATTGTTTTTCCATTTACATTCTAGACTCTGCTTGTAAATTTCTACATATATTATTTTTAATTTAATCTTATAAGTATTTTTCAATGTTGCTACATATTATTCAAAATAATTATTTTGTAACAGTTAAATAATATTTCCTTTAGCATGTATATCAGACTTTATTAACCATTTTCTTTTTTATTGGACATTTGGTTTTCTTCTGATATTTTATTTAAATAATTCTATTATAACTTTGTACATATAGATTATGTACATCAAGATTATTCCCTTAGGAAAATAGAGAAAATATACATTTTACTCTCAGGCAAAAAATGCTACTTAAGACACTGATAAATAATTCTCCCTTATTAAATTATCAAAAACATTTAAATTATCATATCCATTGTTGGCAAGCATATGGTGAACCTAGTTGGGCATTGCTAGAATCAGTATGAATTGGCACAATTCTTTGGAAGTTATCTAGTTACATGGATCAATAGTCATAAGAATGTTCTTATTCCTACCAGCAAAACAGTTGCGATATTATAAGACCTGAAACCTTGGTAGAAATTCTAGAGACATAAGGCAACTATTTTGAGTCTCTTTGGGTAACAAAACTTCTCCAGTTTGAATACATACCTAATGTGCCCCCTGCATCTACTTACATCAATTATGCTCTTAGTTTCTTTTATATAAATCTCTTCAGTTTCAAGCAAGTCCCGTATAATGCGCCTGAATCACAGCAGCAGGTGGGAAGATGAAAGAGAGACAGAGGGAAGGGAGAGTACTTTTTAGAATTCTTTTAGAATAATGCTCAACAATATAGTTCCCCTTAGTGGCTCACCTACTTAGGTTGTGGGCAGTTCATTCTGTTCTATTGAACACCCAATGCCAACATCTCACAAAAGCACACTGGGATCACACTGGCATAAGAAGAAATGACAAGGTTAGAGGACTCCAAATCCGTTTGTGCAGCCGGCGAGTGACCTGTCCTCCGGTGGGCTGTAGCGTAGGGATCAAGAGGGCGTACGCTGGCGTCACAAATACCTTTGCCAGTTTTGGATCCTTGGTCAGGAAGGTCTGCCTGACCTCTACATTGTACGTGCTGTTTCCTGGATTTTCTCTCCAGCTTTCTGCTGTTTCATGGCTCACATCAAGATCTTTGACCCACATGGACGTCATTTGTTGTGCGCAGGGTTAGACAGATGCCAGTCAAGCCCCGTCCCCTGGCATTCGATGTTTCAGTGTGATGGACTTCCTCAGCCAAAGACATGAGCTCTGCCTGCTTCCCTTGAGGAAGGCAGGTTAGGGGTGTGGTGGGCAGAATTCTAAGATGGCCCCCAGATTCCTGGCCCCTGGTGTACAACAAACCTCCTCCCAGTGAGTCAGTCAAATACTAATTGAGGTGCTGCTGTGAAGATATTTTGCCATTCTGTTTTGTTCCAAATCAGTTGACCCTAAAATAGGCAGATTATCTAGTTAGGCCTGTCCTAATCCCATGAACACTTTAGATCTGGGTCTAGAAGTCAGAGAGATTGGAAGCATGAGAAGGATTTAACATAAGGGAGCTTCTCTTTTGCTGGCTTTAGAGATGGCGGGAGCCGTGTGGCAGGGAATGCAGGCAGCCTCTAGGAGCTGAGGGTCATCCTCAGCTGATACCTAGCAAGGAAACAGGGACTTTAGTCCAAGAGCTGCAAGGAACTGAATTCTGCCACAACCACACGACCTTAGAAGAGCGTACCAAGCAGAGTGGGCCAACACCTTGATTTTAGCTCTGTGGGACCTGAGCAAGAAGCCAGCCGTGCTGGGTCCAGACTCCTATCCCAGGGAAATTGTGAGCTGAGCTGCTAAGTTTGTGGCCATTTTTTACGCAGCAAAAGAAAACTAACAGAAAGGGTGAGGCCAGGCCCCACATCTTTCACCAGACAAACTGTTTTCTTTCTCTCCTCAGGCTGTGTGAACACACTTTCTTTTTCAGGCTTTCTTTTAGGCTCCAGGTGGGTTAGTGTTTGTACAAGTGTTCATGTGTAGAATATATACATTTACAGTTCCTGGGAACCGTTGGTGGGTTATCTATTAAACGGTAGCCTATCCTAGTAAAGGATTTCTTTTCCTCTTATAAAATGGGTATGGCAAGGGAGAAATAACCAAAGGACACAATACTGGAAATTCATACAAATATACGAATGGCTATTAGTCTTACAAAAAAAGTGCTCAATACTCACCAATCCAACAAAGGCATAGTAAAAATGAGTAAAAATTTTCAACTACTAGTATGGCAGAAATTTCAAATCTCAAAGGAAGAATGATAGATGATGATGTGGAAACACTCTCAGACAATTTTGGTGGAACTATAAATTTGTGCAAGATAACTTAGAAATGTCTCATCAAAATTTAAAACACATGCTCCTTGACTCAGTAATTTCACTTCTAAGAATGTTCATTGTCTGGAATTAGAACAATAGCACTTCAAAAACAAGGAGATGTAAACTGGAAATTACTTAAATGCTCCTCAATGAGTTATAATACATACATACAATGAAATGTCATGCAGATTTAAAAAAGAACGAAGCGAGTTGAATCATGCTGATATGACACAGTCCAGGTATTTTAAGTGAATTCAAAAAAAATAAGATGCAGAAGAGTATGCATAGTATGACTATTTGTGTGAAAATGAGTATGTATGCATACGTATATGTAAAATTGTATATGCTTAGAAAATTCATGCAAAAAAACCAAGACATTGTTAATAGTGATGCTTTCTAGAGTGGTACTGAAGGCTAGAAAACAGGGAAGGAAGGAGAATTTCTACGTTTTACTCTACACTCTTCTACAATCTTTGATTTAAACAAAAAGTTTAAGGGGCTGGGCCGGTGGTGTAGTAGTTAAGTTTGCGTGTTCTGCTTCAGTGGCCTGGGGTTTGCCGGCTCCGATCCTGGGTGCGGACCTACTCACTGCTCAAGCCATGCTGAGCCGGCATCCCACATGGAAGAACTAGAAGAACCTACAACTAGGATATACAACTGTGTACTGGGGATTTGGGGAGAAAAAAGAAAAAGAAGATTGGCAACAGATGTTAGCTCAGGGCCAAACTTCCTCAAAAAAAAAAAAAAACAAAACTTTAAACACTTACTGCTTTTATAATTAAAAAAAAATGGTTTACATGACATTTTAAAATGAACGTTACTGGAGGTAATGACATATGAGCTCCATTTGAGAGCTATAAATAAATCCTACAATTTACATATTTTATACCTCAACTACTCTTTCTTAAAATTACAATTTTTATATCTTTTTATAAATGCTTGTTATAAAGAAAGACTGAAAAAGGATACACGCTGACAGAGGATACAATTTCAAGAAGTATAAAGACTACCAAAAAGTTACTCTAAGATCACACTTAGCTGACACAGTCACTGAGTAAGAGCTTCCTCTGCTTTTTATAAATTATCCTGAAATGATGACAGTTGCTATGTCACAAGGAAATATAGACCTTGATACCAATTTATTTCTATGAGCCATGACATCAAGTGGGACCAGAGCAACAGTTAAGCATTCATAGAAAACCAGAGTACAGCCAGCCTCTTATGCCCTCGTGAAGCATTGGGCTTAAGCAACTTGGCAAGTCTGTTTAAGGATGTATTGACCATTAAATGAAGCCAGAAGGCAGAAATAACTAGGTGGTGGGCAGAAATCAATCTTATTATCCAACAGCTAATGTAAGAACTTAGAGACTCTTAGGAGTTTTTAGGAATCTGGAGCAAGAAAATATTCACAACTCAGAAGAAAAAAAATCTTCTGTCAGGTCATGTTTCAGCGTATAGTTTGGAAAACAGTCTAGAGATCTCATCCAATGGCTTCATTTTACTTGTTGGATGCAACAGATAAAACTCCAATGATAGCAAGTCCCTTGAACACTGGTAGCCTACATTTCAGTTCAGATTTCTTTTAAAAAACAGCCCTCACACCACTGTTGAGCCATTCTTTTTCCTTTCCCCTCCTTTGTTTTCCTTCCAAATAGCCTTATAAAACGGAAGAAAATTTATGATTCTGATGATTGCCTGCTTTATTATTTCAAAGCATATAACTTTGTTCAAGGATTTAACATCTAAAGTCATAAAGTGTATACAGTGTAGATGAAGAACAGTAAACACTGGGAGTACTCAAGTAAGTAATTTAAAAACCTTTAAACACCTAGAGCAATTTATGTCCTGATGGATATCTACCCAGAGATGGAGCACTAGCAATTACAAAACCGAGTGGCGTTGATGATGCCAGACCAGCCTGCACTAATGTACTCTACACTAGTGTACATTCTGGCACCTTGTGGCTATCCCTCCACTCCCCCACCCCCAGGTCATTAAAGAGGAAATGGAGGCAGAATACGTTTTAAGGGACTGTTTCTTCTCTGAAGTAGTATTTAAAGGTAGCATAAAAACAGAGCTTTGGATATCTGGTTCCATTCTATACGACACCTCATGTTTGTCTCAGATGACACTATAACCAAAGAGCAAGAATGGAAAGAATATGCCTTTTTAAAAAGTGAATGCAACCCTATTTGCTAAGCAAGATCACTAAAGTACCTACATGTTAGGCTTTCCTGATAAGTTTCTTCTTTGTCCCTACATCCTAATCTGTTCCCCCTTTTAACCCTTGCCCCTCATCCCCCACCACTCCTATTTCGCAGCTCTCCAACAGAAGAGTATCCTTTTGGGAACCAGCCTGTCAGAAGTATATTTTTGTTTGTTAATTGTTAACACAATTTCCATCAAGAGTTTTCATTTACTCCTGGTATTTTATACATTATACATGTCAGACAGTACTACAGATTTTCACTTTTTAAAAATTAGTTTTCATCTATTATCCTCTTTGCCAAATTGAAAGGTCTGTTTTTATCCTTCTCAAACTCTAGAGCATCTGACATAACGGATACTCACCTTAAACCTTTGTCTTCCTTTGGTTTTTCTTTATTATTCAATCTTCATTCACCACCCACCTCTCTATTTCTTCTCTATTCCTTCCTCGCTTTATCTTCCTCCTCCTATCTAATATTGCTGCTCTCCAAAGGTCTGAACTCAGGTTTTCAGGTTTCCTTCCCTCCTCTTCCCTCATGCTGCTGACTTTCTGACATCTTTATCTCCGTCCCAGACCTCTGGTCATGCTCAAGCCCATGTTGCCAATGGTCTACACACGTCTTCACCTGAATGCCTCCCAGACACCTCAATCATCTCAGGTTGAAACAGAACTCATTAGACAGAAATAGCATGCATGTCAGTGGAACCGCCATTTTTCTAGGGTCCCTAAAGCTTTCATTTCAAACTCCTCCCTGCCATTATCACTTATATTCAATCTGTCACCAAGCCTTGTCATTTCATCTCTCAACATGCCTCTTGGAGTCACTGCTTATTGTCTATTTCCGGTGTTGCCAATATAAACTCTCCATTCCTCTCATCTTGAATACTTTGGTGCACTCCGAGCAGCTCACCCTTACCTCTAAGATCTCTCTCCCATCAATCTATTTTGCAGATCACCTGTCTATGCTCTTCCTAAAGCTCTATTTCCATCATGCCCTCATTCTCTCTCTTTAAAAACTTAAAATAGCTTTCAATTGTCCGCAACTGCCAACGTTCCTTCCAGGATTTCAAGATTCTCCATTCATGTGATAAGAATCTACTTAGGGACCGTGCTCTAAAGGTAAATCCAGACCCACAGATTCAGAACAGGGAGTGGTG